ATTATAATGCCAAAAGCTATTTATTATCATCTTGAAAAATGGAAGTTTAGAGTTTGCTGGACTTAAAAGTTATCATGGCTGGATCAGTATATCTAAATCAGACCTGGCCAAGAGTTTTTATTTGTTAAATAATAAATGGGTTCAATTCATCATGGTCAGCTTCAAATTCTATAAGCACCAAGGAACGTGGAAGGAACACACATTTCTTTATGAGGTAGTTCTCACAAACAATAGTCAAATAGAATTCTTCATTCTTGTCCAATTCTAATGCATACTTCTATTGTGATATTAAGTTTGTGGCTAAAACAAGAGAAGTTTACATTTCCAGATATGTAGAGATAAGATTTTTATCTTCTATCATTGTTTGACTCTTCCTTGGGTTATGGAACTCTTATGTCTCACATCTAGGAGGTTTTTAAATAAACGTTTGATTACAAATGAATGAATAAAGCAAAGACGGGTCCCATGGTGTAATGGTTAGCACTCTGGACTCTGAATGAATAAAGCCAAAAGGCATCTACATGTCATTATAATGCTGGTGAGGGAGAAGGAAATTTAGCTATTAATTTTAAAACCTAGGCTCAGCGAGAATTAGATAAACTAATAATTCCTCAGATTTCTAAAGAGTCACATGCCAACACCGAAAAGGGTATTCTTAATTTGGTTAATGAAAAATTGTTCTGTTTGGCTGTGGAGAAGTGATGCTCTTTAAATTAATAGCAGTGGTATTCTAACTTTATTTGTGGCCATGTGCGGGGATTGGTTTTAAAGCTCTCTACTTCATACGGTGACTCCCTGGAGTACAATCTCTCAGGAATATGATAAAAATCTAATAATACTCTTTAGAGGTGATGCAATGTGGCTGATTGAGAAGGTCAAGAGAAATCTCATTGGAGATGACCTTATTGTTTGGTGATTTGGCTTGACATTTTTAGCCCCAAATTGGTTTTTGTAATTAAAGAACACTGTGGCCTTAGTCTTCAAGAAATATTGGATGGAGAATCTAAAAGAAAGTGCTGTAATTCAATCTGTCACCTGCCCAATCAAGACCCTGCTTCGGGGGGGGTGGGTACTTAGAACTTTCATTTTTAGTTGAGTGCACAAGTCCAACTAGATTATGGTATTTTATATTAGAGAAAAACATCAACAAAAATATGAAATCCTTGTAAATAACTCCAACCTTCCTAAAGTCTAAACTAAAACTATCATTTCAATGTGATCTATATAAATTGTTAGATCAATCACTTTTAAGGACGCCTTCATTTAATTTTGATTGACTTTGCAAATAAAAGAAGGGAAGGTGGAGAAATACCAAACATACACTCCAGGACATCAGTCTTCTAATGCTCTTTCTCATTACTTGATAATATGCTAACAAAGGGACAAGAAGAACAGTAACAACACCGTTCTTACACCGGGATGTAAGAACGTATGTGTGCCTGCCACTTAGAAAGACAAAGATGCTGTTGCAAGATTAGAGCAAAAGGGCAATGTTCTTTGGTGCATTAAAAAAAGGGAGAGAGGAATTCTATGGACTGAATGTTTGTGCCCCTCCCTAAATCACATGTTGTAACCCTAATCCTCAGCATGATGGTGGGAGATGGGGCCTTGGGAAGGTAATGAGGTTATGAGAGTGGAGTTCTTATGAAGGAGTTAGTGCCCTTATAAGAAGAGATTCAAGGGGCGCCTGGATGGCTCAGTCGGTTAAGCATCTGACTTTGGCTCAGGTCATGATCCCAGGGTCCTGGGATTGAGCCTGTATTGGGCTCCTCACTTAGCAGGGATTGCCCTCCCCCTCTGCCCCTCCTTTTTCCTCCTTCCCCTCCCCCTGCTCATGCGCAAGCGCTCTCTCTCAAATGAATAAGTAAATAAATCTTTAACAAAAAAATAAGAAGAGACACAAGAGAGCTTGCTTCCTCTTTTTCTTTCTGCCATGTGAGGATACAATGAGGGAAGGTGGTCTTCTGCAAACCAGAAACAGTACCCTCACCAGACACCTGGATCTGCTGGCACCTTGATCTTACACTTCCCAGCCTTCAGAACTGCGAGAAATAAATGTTTGTTGTTTAAGCCACCCCGTCCATGGTATTTTTGTTATAGGATCCTCAACTAAGACAGGGAATGATGTAGTTTCTATCTGTACCGACTATCTTTAAAAACACTGCCTCAAGTTGGTAATCATCTTTTGTGTCTAGCATTTTGTGTGTGTGTGTGTGTGTGTGTGTGTGTGTGCATTTTATAATGTTAGCCTGAGGCAAGATAATTTTAGTTATTGTATAAAATATACTACTTGATCTGTGCTGCAAGGAAGGTAACTAGCAAAATTAAAAGCCAACCCCAAATGTCCTATGTACCCTGAAAGCCAGTGGTAAAGGCAGAGATGCAGGGTCTTAAGTACAACTATCTCTCAAAGGACTTACCACTGTAAAGTTCCTCCTTGCTTCCTGTACATTTATGACCATCCTCAGGACACTAACTGAATGCAGGTTTTTCCCAACAGCTGTTATTGTGCTCCCACCACTGGCAAAATAAAATAGAAAAACAGCAATATGGAGAGGTCCTTTTTCTACCAAGTATTTTAAGAAAGAAGTTAAATTACATCACATGTAGTGATTGCAATTTATAGTCAAAGCCAAGTCAAATGGAAGTTCAGTGGTAACTCTTTTTTGGAAACAACTTATTGAACTTGGAAATATGTTTTAAAATTCCTATTTTGTAAGTTGAAGAAATGTATTTTTTTTTTACTCACAAAATATGCAAAAGAAACATTTTTTTTCTCTTTTAAAAATAAATCCAAGTAAAATGAACTTAACTACTGTTAGAATTAATGGAAACAAGGCAGACTGAACTGGGCCCAATGAAATACTGATTCAAAGGGAGTCTGGTATGGGGAAAAGCTGTGTCTAAAGCAGGCAGAGCAAAAATACACTGAAGAATGGAGGGAAAAAAGGTAATTCCACTTTCGGCCACTAAAGTTAGTACAGACTTAACGTGTACATAATATAAGTGCATAAATACTATGGTGCCACGTTAAACTGTTGCACTGAAATCCATTTAAAATGTAATAGAGGAGGATAAAATGTTTCTTGGCATGAACCTAGCAATGATAAAGTCAAATTGTACTCAGAACCTGAATGTAGTTTTCACTCCTGAATTAGAAAGGCGGGCTTTTAAAAGAAATGCAACAGCATTAAAGCTAGAGATAAAACTACAATTCCTCTTGACTATCTGACAGACACATCATTCTTATGTTCATTATTTTCTTATACCCATCAGAAGCTTTTACTTACCTAATAAAAGATCTGGTTGGATGAATTGCATAGACAATGGGGTCTTCCTGGTAACTGAAGCTGTTCATCTCTCGGTTGGCTAAGTCAATTTTCAATTTAATAGGAAACTCAGTTGGAGTGGTTTGAGCTGGGGTATAACATTCGAGAATACTATCTGACACACTGAACAAAAAAATTAAGAAAATTGACCTTAGCTATTAGATACACATATTTTAGAATTATATGCATAAATCAAAAGTATATCACTCAGTGGCTCCTAAATGAGAATTTCCAGATGTGTTTAGAAAAAAGCGCTTTCTAATGTAGCCTATTTACATTTGACTGGATCCCAAACTTAGTCTTGTTGTAGACAAGCCATCTATGACTTCAAAACTTTTGGGATTTTAAGCAATTTTTAAAGTATCTTTTTGGTACTTGATTAAACTGAGCTCTTTCACCTCTAAGAATCAGAAACTTAACTTCCCTCTAGACCCAATCTTCCCCATGTTTCTTACATCCCCAAAGTGATTTAGCCTAATTGTAAATCTTGTTGGAAATGTTTAATTTATTGTCAATTACCAGATCTCACAGCATAGCCAGGATACTAGATGTAACATTAGAGAAGGTAGATGGGAAGATGAAACTTAAAAAGTGGAATTAATAAACATAAGGGAAGGGTAGAAAAATCAGCAAAAGGGTAGATGGATATAGGAAGGAGGAAGTTTTGTCAGTAGGGGAGTAAATAATATACATCTTGATTTTCCTCCACACACACACAAAAAGAACAATCTTTTCTTGATTTATTAGGTATAGATACTAATCCTACTTGACTGATGCAACAAAAAATAAATTTACAACACCTTTTTAAAGTACATGTTTTCCCACCAATTGAAATGTGTCTAGAATTCCCACTGTTTAGGTACTTTCCAGTTAAAGTAAGCAAGGTGCCACCAGTCTTAGGACCATAACTTGGAGAAATACTTGTTATTATAGGATCCTGAATAGGAAACAAAAACAAAACAAAACAAAGTAACTTGTTAATTTTATGACTCTAAATAGATTAAGTAACAAATATCCTAGTTCTTGAGAACAGTAGTGCTTAGACTTACCACATAGGAAAAGGTATTATATTGTGCTGTCCCTCGACCATTTGCAATAATTATGGATATATTGAAATGCTCATTCACTGCAGGACCAACTGTGCATTTCAGCCTGAAAAAAACCCAAAGTTTAATATGTTGCAAATGCAAAGGCATTTTCTGGTTTGGCTGTTTTATGTGGAGGATCATTAACCGTAAATTGTGAGCTGGCTACTCTGAATAGCAAGCAGAGTTTTGTGGTAAGCATTAGGGCTAAAAATCATATATTTCCATTTCTATACTATTACACTTCACATAGACAACACAGGAACTGTTAAACCTCATCAATATTGACCTCACCAATTGAAAAATTCATAATAATCTAAGTCTAAACCTCTAAAATTGTGAGCATAATGTTTGGCATACATAAGATAAAGAAATATTTCAATACCATATGAAACAATGGGCTAATTATAAACTAAATTTCTTCATTAAAATATGTCAACAGGTATATTTCTGTGGTTACACGTGTCATGTGTTTATTAAATTACCTTAAAAATAGTGAAACTGTGACAGACTTTCCATAGAATTATTTTTGAATTAATAATCTTACAGTCCTGAAAAAGTATAAATGTGATTTGTTTTGTTAAGCAACTTTTTAAAGAAGAGAATGAATTATGTTTTACTTTTACAGGCTCTAATATATAAAGCAATGAATAAGAACTTACAAGGGAGATTTCTAGAAAGAATTTGTTTTCCCATTAGCCTAAACAAGTACAACATTAATTGATGTTTTGGTCTCAGTAAATGAGTACATTTATACCTCTGTGTGATCTTGGAAGGAATTCTACAAGGTATAAAATAACCACTTGATAGAAGTGGTTCAACCATAAAACTTGAAATGTTTGGTTCTTATTACTACATGATAACTAAACATTTCTGGATTCTCCATTCATTATGGGATTTACATTTGATAGAAGGTGCATGGAGGAAATGGTGGAACAAGCACACATCTTGGATCAGGAGAGTTGAGTCTGAAGGCCTGTTAAGCTCTTACTCTCTGGATTGCCTCTGCTAAACTACACTCCACCTTTTTTTTTTTTTTTTTTTTTAAGATTTATTTATTTATTTGTCACAGCGAGAGCACAAGCAGGGGGAGTAGCAGGTAGAGGGAGAAGCAGGCTCCCTGAGAGCAAGGAGCCCAATGTGGAACTCGATCCCAGGACCCTGGGTTCATGACCTGAGCTGAAGGCAATGCTCAACTGACTACCCAGGCGTCCCTCTAGACTCCACCTTTCTGAACTTCAGACACCACCTTTGTAAAATCAGTATAGTATTGTTATCTCCTGGGATGAATGACTAAATGAGATATACTTCTTACATTATAATACCAATAAATATCAGCTGAATATAAATTTAAGTGCATCAAAAAAAAAAAAAGAAAGAAAGAAAGAAAGAAACAAGTCTCAAAAATGTGACTGAGCTGCTTTACTACATTTCTGAGGTTTAGAAAGTGAATTTAGAAGAGAGGGTCTTTATGGAGCTGTTTACTGATTTTTATAGAAAAAGCCATTGGAGACTCTATATTTGAACACTTTAAAGATGGAGCAAGTCCAACCAGTGCTGTTCTTTCAAATCTATCCAACAACTTCTGAAGAAATGTTACAAAAATTGTTGAAAAACTCCCAGATGGTGGATTCTTCTTTTCTTTAACTAGGTAATGTCACCTTTTTCCTTTTTTAATCCTGATAAGTAAATAGGATTAAAAACAAAACAGTTCCACAAGGGATGTTAGAGGGCCAAGACTCTTTCTAATTCAAGACATGGACTTTTGGGACAGTCTTTACAAGTATTCATTCTAAAACACAACTTGTTTTCCAACCATACCCCAGAAAAACATTTAAAGATCCTTACATATTTGTTGTGCTCTCACTCAAGGTCAAGGTGCAGCTCTCATTTCCAAGGAGAACTCTGGTTTTCTTTAAATCAAATTTATTATTCCTCCTGAATCCGAAGTCCCAGCCACATACGGTCAGCATTGTCCCTCCTTCCAAGGGTGCACTAGTTGGGAAAACCTACAAGGACAACCGAGAACTTAAAAAAAAACAACATCAAGACATTATTTTCTGTTTGTGTGCAAAACAAACACAACATGTATCCTCACTCTGGAATTTTTCTGTTCTGTCACTGTCTTAAAAAATGGAATTTTCACTGCAGGAAAAAGGGTCACAAATTTCACAGAAGCTGGAACAAATATTAAAACTATCTAAGATGTGCTGATAAAATAAGTTGTTTTCAGGAGATCCAGAGATGGGACAGAGAGCAGATTCAGCCTGGGTGGAAAGGAAGGGCCTTCTTGGGCCACTCTGAAGTGAATTCATCTGGTAATCTTCTAGGGTGGAGTAGACAGTTTGGGTCCAGACTTTCACATTCTTGTAACTCTCATTATAACTCATGGGCCTCTGATCAAACTCTGATCAAAAATCTTTCATGGGCCCTAGAAGTCAAGCATCAATATGTGTCTTGTTCTATGTATGAGCTGGGTGTTTGCTACAGTCTTGTGAACTATGGTATTCCCCACCTAGAGAAGAAAGAAAGTCACATAGTAAAAATACTTCTTGGTATCCAGTGTTGCATTCAGCAGATATCATAATACCAAACACATAGAAGGTGTTCAGTATATATCTACCATTCACTCATTCATCATTCGTTACAAATCATCTACTGTGTGCCAAGCACTAACAAAGGAATAAATGAATCTATTTCTTTATACTTGTTAATTCATATTTATTACTGATTTGGGGTTTTAAATATGGTCACCATTTAATATATACCAGCTGGTTAGTTGACACACCCAGCTTTTAAAAAATGATGTAATTTTAAATAAATACATACAATATATTATTTCTATTAGAAATAGATATTACAAAAACCAGAAAGAGCCCCAAATGTGATCTGTATCGTAGCAATGTTTCTAATTATCTCTCTTGGCATTATTTTACATCTCATTTCTAGGGCTGATTTTTTTCTCCCCCATGTTCAGTGTTAAATAAATAGGTTCATTTTTCTATTGCAGGCTTACTTTAGGTGTGTTGAAAGTAAAATTTGAGTTCATTAATAAAATTTTGGCAACTGTGACATTAAATAGCAGTAGGTGCTTATGAAGTCTATAAGACAACAGTTCTTAGGCTAAAACTATTAAAACAAAACAAATTTCCAAGTTAAAAATAAGCTTCTCCTCGGCAGCTTCGTCACAATTGAGAAAGGAAATGCTCTTTTGTGGGGGGGGGACATATTGTAAATTGTGCTGTAAAGTACAATGGTGGGAAAACATAGCACCACCATAGAGGCAACTCAAAAACCAGTAAAGGTGTTTGCTAAAGGCCAGTTAGTAAAAGTCTAAAAGTAATTCTATCATAATTTAGAAGGGTTTTAGCTAAATACACATTCGCAAACATTCCCATACATCCCAAGTAAACAATCGCAAACCAAAGTCTTAACTTACCCTTGCCACCAAATCCTTTTAAAGTCTTAGCTTAATGCTTTTATGATAGCTATTTTATCCATAAAATCCATTACACACTTGTGCCGTCCATGAAAACTTACCTTGTCCATGTCTAGGCAAATGAGAACTGCTCGAGAAAAAAATACCTGTTTATTATTATGTTAGAAATCCAGTAGGAGAGGGCAAGGCATCTAAACCTCCCAGACTCTCTTCAGCCTGAGGCAGCCACACAGCTGCCTTTCCCTTGTTTCAGGAGGAGGTTCCCATAGAAGACAGCTGCCTAAGGCTGATGCTGGCCTGATCCTGCCGCCTAGGTCCCCCCCTTTCTATGTAAAAATTGAAGTCTGTCACTCTACATACATCATCACTTTCTACATAAGGCAAATGGATTGGGTGATGATTTGAGAAAAGACACTGAGAGTTGTTCAGTTGGTGTGCTGGCAACAGAAATGGAGATTATAAAACCTTTACTAGTCGGTTGGTCAAGATTCAAAAGTTCAGCTGAACTCAGCTTTCCTCCCTGGGCTGAGATATTAGAGCAGGGCATTGGAACATTTCCCCCTTAGCTTATGGGGTAATGTTCACTCTTCCAGGGGAAAGGGAAGGAAGTGGTTTTGGACAACACACCCTCGGATAGAACCAACAATGAGCTGGCAAACTCTGAGTTATCCTGAAGGGCAGGGAAACTCTGTGGGAAGGAAATGAGTGTCCGGCATAAAGCCACAGAGGCTAGGTCTCCCACCTGTCCGGACACGGGAGAAACAGCCACCAAACAACTAGCACCCTTTTGCAGGTGAAAATGATTTAAACGATCACATTTTCAAAACCCACCAAGATAATACATGAGAGCGCTAAAACAACAATAACCGCCCCCCCGCCCCGCCCCGGAAAATTAGAATTTGCCTCTTCAGTAGTTAAAAAGTCACAAATATATTGGTGGTAGCCTGAATGACACCCTCCCCCCGCCCCACCCCATAAGATATCACTGTTGCTTCTTATCTGAGTCTTCCAATCAATTAATAAACCATTTTATTGTCTCACTGGGACCGAATTCAATCCTGTAAGATATGACAATTTTATCTTAATAAATTCAGAATGCATTGGAAAGTGCTCTTCCTTTTCTGAAGCATTTCTCATTGCTCTTTAAGTATGAGATCAGATAACATGTTTGAAACAAAATAACGGGCTTGCAATCCTGAAATCTCTCTTATGTGGAATTGCAAAGAATTTCAGCCACTGAACATCATGTACCTTGAAAAGCAGGTTAACTCACATTTACTGGAAAGTGAAACTATACGCTAGTTGGGTTTTGTGCCTATAGTGTTTAAGACAGATAAGAAATAGATGAATAATCTGTCTTATTTTTTGCAGCAAGAATGCTAAATGTCACGGTCTAGTGCAGCATGAAATCTTCCTAACAACTATGAACCGAAAGGGATTTATGGACTCAGCTGCACTACTTTCCTCCTAACCATATAGCCCAAGCCTCACTGACTTGTGCACGATGCAATGCAACCTTTTAAGATCACCAACTACAGAAAGTTGGAGTTAGGGAAGGTGAGAGCAGAGGGAGAGAGATTCTCTGGTTCCAGAAAATCCTAAAATATTTAGTCGTTTTAAAAAAAACATTTTAATATGGCTTTCATGAGTAACAGAAGGGAGTACATTGGTCAAATTAAATGTCCCATTTGTATAGGCTCTCAACCTGCTCTGTACTTAAAACACCACTTTGGCTGTTTTTGAAATGAAATTGTTGTGATTCAATTGCATGTATATACACATACATACACACACCCCATATATACTCTCCCCATATCTCTTTCATGGAATTGCTGAGTTCAGATTTCTAGTGTCTCAAATTGCCAAGGCTGTGTTTAAAAAAGTATAAATTTGCACGTGGTTTTAAAAATATACTGAACCAAAAAAAAGGGTACATAATACCACAGTATAGATTTAAGTTTGTTTTCTTACTATCTTCTAGTTTATTCCCTGGATGATCAAGCTAAGTCTTAATAACTGTGTTTCACCTAACAGAAAATGATTTGGTTTAAAATCCAGTCACCCTGCACAAATCTTGCCCCAAACCGTAACTAAATGAAAACAGCCATGCGCTTGGGGGGGCGGTTCTTGTTCTGACTTGCATACTTTGTTTACTTGGGCTTGAACCAGGTGACCGAGACCTTTAACTTGAGTCTTTCACAAGTCATTTACTAAAGTCCAACTGTTCTATATGTGAGCAGGGAAAATACATACTGGGTCCTCACCAGGGAATTATTTTCAAGCAAAAACGTATTTGGATCGAGACATTTAAAAAAATTGCCCTGGAGATTTTCGTAGTACCAAATATCTGTTTCACCAAAAATAAGGCAGCAGAGAGTTGGAGAGCATGGCTACAATGCCATGACTGAGCTCACTGCCAGAAGCTAAGTTCCCTAATAGGAGGAGGCACTTTCCTTTCGTTCAGACCACGTTTCCTTAGTGTCTACAAGAGCGCGTATGGTATGCGGTCAATAAATATTTTTGGAATGAATTAAAGAATGAAATGGCTCACAGAGTATAGATGTTAGTATTAGTCATCAGTTGTACCTGTACTGTTCTTCCAGAAACTTTGAGAGAAGGCACGTACCCATCCGTGGGTGTTCATTGTCCACCTTCCTCCTACACTGGCCTGGGAAGTAACCTCTAGTCTTCTGTGTGATGACACAAAGTCACCACCTATACACCAGACAGGAAGAAATCTTCTGTCCTCTCTGCCCCATCATGGCTGCCATCCCTAGCTTGCCTGGTTCAGCTTAAGATTCTGGGTTATGCCATGAGCAGACCTCTGTGCATGGTGGAGGCTCATGTCCGGGCACCTGGTTGATTAAGTTGGTGGTGAGGAATCACTGAGTCAGATGGGTCAGGAGGGAAAAGGACCCAGGGTGAGGAAATGGGGAGCAACGTTGCTCACCAGCCACCACTCTTCTATTAACAGAGCACTAAGGGAGAGCAACGTGCTCAAGGAGAGAACTACTTGGTGAGTGTAAAGCACATATTTCAGGCCCAGGACTCAGGGTGATGCGCCCAAATGCCACCCTGAAGGAAAACCTTGGAGAAGGATGGTGCTTCGGCTGATGTCTCACAGCTAAATGAATACATTGAATTTAGAACTTTTTCATTAATGGGATTATGTTTACCAAAAACACACGTGACAGCTGACAGATTCCTACCTCATAGATTGTAGGCAGACAGATCTCCTGAGTCCATGTTCCAGTGGGGCATTCCTCTAATTGCACACATTTATCGTGGCACCAGCCGCACTGCACAAAGGGAGGGGCGGAGAGACACTGACTGCAGGACTGGAAATGTTCACAGCCTAAGCCATTCAGTGGGATCTTGGTGATCTGTGAAGAAAAGTGATAGAGAGAGCTTCCAGAGGGGTTTTTTGTTTGTTTGTTCAGTGAAAACTAAATACACCAAAGATACATGTGAATCTAATTGTATAGAGTCTACCAGAGATAGCACCTATGTGTGAAAATTATGTAATAATGATAAAGTGATTTAAACAAAAAAACCAAATTCCTTCCTTTCCTCTATTGTTGGCGCATATGTGATAAACATTACCATCACTGTCCAGGGAACACAAGGACTGTCATACAGCGTTAGAGGTTTTATTTAGTAGGGACATTTTGGTCTGTCTGAGACGATTTTAAAATAACAAGAGAGTATAATTTAAGCTGCTGGAAAACACACTTGAACCCCTGGGAAATTCTAAGTAAGTTTACATATCATTTAGCATCAAGATGCACCTCCTTCTCTCAGAGAAGAGGGATTACTGGTTGGTGTCAGATTCCAATGTACATTTCAGGACTTATCTGCCCGCACTAGAGTTCTGCCCTTAGGTCCGTAATTCTCATTCTGCGTGTTTGTTTTTCTCATTGAGAAATAAAGGACAAAGGGAGAAGTACACATAATGAAGACCTCCCTTTGGTCCAGTCTTCCTGAATAAAAATTTAACTTGGTTTCAGAAAATCTCTGGAATACTCAAGAAAAAATCTGAGAGAGGAGAGTGAATCCAGGACCAAGAGAGAAGTTAAAAAGGACCACATGATACATACTGTAAAAATCCACTCAGGAAAAACCTCCCTGTGGGAACAGGGCTTACCTTCTTCCCAGTGACAACCAGCGTGTAGCCATTTTGGTTTAATGGGTGCTCCACAATTGCTTCTGGAGACACAGGGTGGGAATCCAGGCGAAAATTCACATGAGGGGTTGACGATCCTGATCGAGAAACCACAACCTGAGAGACAAAACACAAATGAACTTAGTCCAACAAGCTCAGTTTAAATACAAGTGGAAAATGTGGATGATAATGCTAATAACAGATTAAGAGAGCTCATGGGTATTTGAACTAAAGGCCCAAGTGTTTATCTCATTGTAAATCAATACACCATCTCCTAATCTCCTGTCTTGAAGGCAGTTCCTCTGAACCCCCAAGGCAGACTTTCGCATATCATCTTTTAATGGTGTATAGGGAAGGAGATCTTTTGGTCAATCAGCCAGCACATGCAGACAAATCCTCACAATTGTATTGGGAACTGGAGGAGCCAAAACTCTCCCCAGAACTGAAGAACTCACCTATGCTACAAGGATTTCAGATTATTCTTTAACTTTATTCACCCGCCCTGCCCCACTGGGCAGCTTTCCTTGACGTCATGGAATAGAGAGTGGACAGGGAGTCTGGAGGACCTGGATCCAGTTCCAGCTTTGCTACTCTTAAGCCATATTTATAGATCTCCTAAGGTCAAAATAGGCCTTCAGGTACTTTAAAATAACGGGCTGCTGTTTTTATAAACCATTGTCTAATCAGATGTTATTTCTTGGATTATAAAGTTCTACTTCTTGACCTGGTTTTATAATAAGGTCTGATGGCTTTAACAATGCCTTGGAAACGAGGTTTGATGACTTTTGTCATTCTTGTTTTCAGGTATTTCTAATTTGGGATGTTTCTCAGCTATATAATTTCCATCTTCTCTACTGCTAGAACCCACTAATAATGAAGTCCAGGGATAAAATCAGAATGACTGGGGTGCCTCAGTAGCTCAGCTGGTTAAGCGTCTGCCTTTAGCTCAGGTCATGATCTCAGGGTCCAGGGATCAAGCCCTGCTCAGCGAGGCGCCTGCTTCTGCCTCTCCCTCTGTCTCTACCCCCCTCAAGTAAATAAATAAATCTTTAAAAAAATTTTTGAGGAAGTCAGAATGACTATTAGAGATGAACACTAAGACTTTAGGAGAGTTTGGGAGTGTTCAGACTTTTATTCTTAAATAGGCAATAGATTTGTATCTATATGAGGTGCAGGAGGCTGAGGTCAGCCCTAGGCTTGAAACTGCCTTTGTAAAATTGTCCAACATCCCAAATACCCTTTTATGTTTCATTGAATGTGTGCTTATTTGCCATAGGTGTGAAATCATGGGACAAACATGGGGATCTGTGAGATTATGATTAAATAACCATTCCTTCTACCTCAACTTTTTCATCTGTAAAATGGGAATGAAAATTACAGGTGTAATTAAATGCTTAGTACTCTAACAAACTCACACACAACATAAAAATATTTTGGGGAACTAGTTGTAAATCTTTTCATCAGCACAAGGAGTCAAGTAGCTTGAAAAAATTTGGGAAGATTCCCAAAGTCTCTAATTTGCTCCCAGACAGTGGATTGTTGATAGAGAAACTAACTAAATCCACATACCTCCATAAAAGCCAAACATCATGACATTTTGTTCTAACACTTGTTCTATCCCAAACAGCACTTTCAAAACATCTCCATTAAGGAGGGTGGCTATATTTGCACAGAAGTTAAATGATGGATCAAAGGTCATTTGGTCAGGATGAGAAAGGATGGAAACTGTTGTTATTCCTAAATGTAGGGCCAAATAGTTATCTGTGACTTTTGTAGCCAAAGTAGAAAGAAGTTCAATTACCAGTCCTACCTCCCCTGCTGGGTGCGGGTTACAAGCAGAATATCAGGATATCAGACTTTTAACACCTCTATCCCAAATTATCCAGATTTCAGTTATCCAGTTTTTCAATTTTGACTCACTTCAGGTGCTCACCACTTGTTTTTCCTATCTGCCCACCCCCATTTTTTTTCGTATTTCCCTAATTGTTGCCAATCACTTCCAACTACAAAGATGAAAAAAAAAATCTCCTTTTCTCACACACAAGTCAAAAACAAAATCAAACGACAGCCTCTCTTAATAACTGGACTCTGTTCTATGCCTCATTCTGTGCTTTCCACTTCATTGAAGATTATTCATCTCTCTGAACCTTCCTATGAATATTTGCATTTTGCCTCTCTCATATCTTCCAATCTATTCAGACCTGCTACATAATAAGATACAAGATCTCCTAACTTTTTGCTCTCTTTAATATCATTTTCCCATATTTATAAATAAGCAATCCCTTCCTAATTACTAGGTCATCATCTTTGACTTCATCAAATATCTGAAGCCCATTCAAATGTTCGTTTCCCAGAAAGGATTAACCTTTGTCTCTCTTTTCATAAAGAAGCTCTTTGCCTCTCTGGAACTTGGGTAGATTGATTTAACGTATTCCCTGTTCAGACTTTTTGTCTGGAGAGCACTATATATATGGTGACTGAGCCAGTCGTTGTGCTAAGAGCTTTAAATGGTTTTTTTGTTTACTTCTCACAATAATCCTACAAGGTAGGTACTATTATTTTTCCATAAAGAAAATACAACAGAGAATTTTAGCTAGAAAGTACAACAGTCCGGTTTCCAAGGAGCTTTATCTAATGCCAGAATCCGATTTGCTTGACCTCTTCTTAAACACTCAACTGCTACACTCTTGGAGCACCAGAGTAAATACCAATAAAAAGCTTCAACTCTGAGCTCTCAAGAGCCACTCATGAATCAAAGCATTAAAACAAATTTCACAATATATTTGCCTTGCCAAATACTCCTTGTTTCAGTAATCCTGGCTGCAGAAGTTAAGTGTGCCTAAGGAGAAAGACTCCACATCTGAATAGTTTCTGATGGCACAGAGGAAATGTTACTAGCAGAGCCAGCGAGTTCTACTTTTGATCACAGAGCTAGGATGAGTGTGGCTTCATGTAGAAAATGGGATGAACCAGAGAAGACAGGAAGGCTGTAGGGAAAAGTGAGATACCTGGGGTTTTAAGCAGAGGCCAAAGCACAGATGAAAATACCTTTCTGTTGATCATTAGCCCTTTCTCTGCAGGGATACCTATTGCTATAAAATGCCAAGAATGCTTTTCTATCATTAATTCCTCACTTTATCTTATTGTTAGAATTCCAAATAATGGAGTAACCACTTTAACCCTCAAAATACCCCTGTAGCGATGTTTTTTAAGAAATTAGAAGTTCCTTTTTGTTGTCATGGAGATATTTCTAAGGACAGAACTGAATCTAGCATTTAAATTTAATTCTTAGGATAATTAGTATGAAATAGAAGACTGGTAATTATCTTTGTGTTGACAACTAATCTTTAATGCTTAGGTCTCAAAACAACAACAACAACAACCACCAAAAAACCCTTTTTCTTTAATGCTTCTGAAAATACAAGACTAATATGTTTGGGTGTGAGGGAGTAGAGGAGAATCCAAATGTACCTGATTGTTGTGGCTATGATCTCAAATTATCTAAGAGAGGACATGAGGAAGAAATATATGTACAAATAAAATAAAACCTTTGTGGCTAGGCTCTAAAATCCATAAACCTTTTGTGTGATATATTTTCAAATACATAAAGGCTAGATTCCCTCACCCTACACATAGAGATTTATTTTTTATTTTTATTCATTTTTTATAGATTTTATTTATTTATTTGTCAGAGAGAGAGTGAGAGAGTGTACAAATAGGGGGAGCTGAAGGCAGAGGAAGAAGCAGGCTCCCCGCTGAGCAAGCAGCCCGATGTGGGACTCGATCCCAGGACCCTTCGGATCATGACCTGAGCTGAAGGCAGATGATTAACTGACTGAGCCACCCAGGTGTCCCAAGATTTATTTTTGGTTAAACTGTTTTAAAATTTAATTTTCCTTAAGAATGATGAATACAGTTTAACATGAGATATTTGTTTCTCTCCTTTTTTTTTTTTTTTTTTTGGTTTGTTTTTTTAAGTAGGCTCCACGCCCAGCATGGGTCCATCATGGGGCCTGAATTCACGACCCTGGGATCAAGACCCAAGCCAAAATCAAGGGTCAGACATTTAACCGACTGAGCCACCCAGAGTGCCCCACTCTCCATTTTTTTAAAGTGTACAATTCAATGCACTTTAAATGATGAATGAAATCATGAAATTCAATGGTTTTTGGTATAGTCACAGATTTGTGCAACCATCACTACAACCATTTTGGAACACTGTCATTATCTCAAACAGAAACTCAGTACCCTTTAGCCACCACCTTCTCCATCTCCTCGTGCCCTCCAGTCCCTTGCAACCACTAATCTACATTCTGTCTCTATAGATTTTCCTATTCCAGACATTTTATATGAATGAAATCCTACAATATGTGGTCTTCTGTGACTGGCCTCTTTCATTTAGCATAATGTTTTCAAGATTCATCATGTTGGGACATGTATCAGTACTTCATTCCTTTTTATTGCTGAATAATGTTCCATTATATGGACATACCATATGTTATTTATCCATTCATCAGTTGATGGACATTTGGGTTATTTCCACTATTGTGAATACTGCTACTATGAACATTCACATACAACTTTCTGTGAGAACATACATATTTTCATTTCTTGGGTATATACTTAGGAGTAGAATTGTTGGATCTTATGGTAACTCTATATTTAACCCTTTGAGGAACTGCCATACCATTTTCCATAGGTGTGCACAATTCTACATTCCCACCAACAATGTGTGAGGGTTTTAATTTCTCCACAACTTCACTGACATTTGTTATTTCCCGTTTTCTTGATTATAGACAACCCACTGTGTGTGAAGTGGTACTTCATTGTGATTTTGCTTTGTATTTCTTTGCCAAATATTTTCTTAAATTAAGTAAAAGGCAAGCTTACTTCTGGAGGTTCACAGTCTTCCATCCATTCCTCCTGCCTGAGACTGAGTACCTGAGTATCACCTACTTAGCCTCCCAACCAGTGTTCTGAATATCCCCTCATAGTCAGACTGGGCTTTTATAAAACAAAGTCCTAGAGAGGCTGGAGGTGGGGAAGGGATAAAAGATGGAACGAAAGTGGATTTTCACTAGGAGAATCCATCAGAGTGGGAGTAGATTCCCTGGGCC